AAGGTGAACCGATGAAGAAATACTGAGGAGACAGGCAGGGCTTAAATAGTCTTCCTTTCCCTCTCTCAATGACATTCACGTGCTATCCATCCTTATAACTTAGAGATGAAAATTCTAGCTTCAGTAGACAGCAAAAATGCATATGAGTATTTAAATTGATGCTTATATTACTGGTGGGAATGGCTCCTAATTATACAGCATATTTACGTATATGATACGTAATACTTTATCATCACGGGATAAAGTAAGTAAGTGTACCATTGCATCAAAATTAGTAATATCTTTTTGCGTTGTTTGAAACTGCAGATCATCCTATGTAGAATCACTTGCCTCACAGTTCTGAGGGACTTCTGAAAAGTTTAGGTGGCTGGGATAGGAACGCTTGCCTTTCTGAATGCTTTCTTTATAAGACAAACCAAATAATCTGTTGTTTTTATAAATAAAATATATTACTGTCTTCAAATACAATTGTTTCTTTTGGGACTCAAAAGACTTCCTTAGCGCAGTTTTGAAAAACGAAACATGTATAACATTTCTAGAAAATTCTTGAAGTGAGTCACTGAATTCTGAGCTTTGAAATTCTTTGCAAATAGCAGCAGTGAAACCTACCGAAATTGTAAATGAGCATCTATTTTTATATAAACTATCAGTTGATGTTTCACAACCCTTTCCACATGCTCATTTATAAGACACTTGAGCAGCAAACTTTGTATAAATAGTGTTTTTTTTGCTGCCATGGTATAATTGAAAACTTGGTGTTGGAGGAAGGTTAACGTTGGTAAGCAGGACTTATGAAGTCTGCTGCCTGTCTGCTGTGCTATAGCTTTGCAGTGTAATCTTCAAAGATGACGTAAATTAATGGCATGCCATTTCCTATACCTTAAACGCTGTACTACCTATCCAACAAGGATATTGTAAATTAATCATTATTTTATTATATTACTGAATGATAGGTGTGCCCAAGCATTACTAACATGCATGAAGAATATCTGTTTACAAAAGATTCTTCAGCTTCTGGGTACAGTAAATATCAGGTTTAATGGTGAGTGAGTTAAAAACAGTAGATTACTAAACTCAATTAATGTATTAAAGAAAAGTCAGCACAGAAAGAAAGGCTGTTATGCCACTGATCTGGAATATTATCTCACAGTAGTTTTCTTTGCTATTGATACTAAACTAGGAGCTCAAGTCTGTCACAGTTTGTTTGCAAGAACTAGGACGTTACATTGCATTAGTTGTGGTTATTTGTTTTCTTTTTCTCTTTTGCACTAACTGCGTTAATACATCTGTATGTGCAGACTGGTTTTTGCGATTAGCACAGAGATAACAATGATTTGCCTGGGAGTAAATTTTCACAAATAATTTTAGCATAAGTAAAAACTCTTCTGGGCCTGTATGACACTGGCTAATAGTATACCTGAAACCACAGTTACAGAAAGATCTATCATCTGACACATCTTCAATGCTTGACTCATGTAGGATGTCTTCTACTAGTGTGAAAATGAAGTCTATCACACATGAAGCTGCAAGCTTGTTTAGATGCCAAATATAAAATGTATTTTAGCTGCTAAATGTATGTATGTGCAGAAGTTTTAATATTTACCGTTACATGCTTCTGTGCTCATCAGAGTATGAATAGCAGTTGAGCTTGTATAGCGTTTGCAGGTAAGCATGCTGCATTTGCTGCTTGGTCTTGGGCTGTGATGCCCCTGGGAGTCAGGCCCTCTGCCAGGCTTGCTTCTCTGACCATTCTCATAGCAGGAGAGGCTCTCAAATGAGCTTAGCCATATATTTTAATTTCTTTCTCCATCTTAGCCTTTGGAATGATGATTGAAATATCTTCTTTGCAAAAATTGTGCTCTTCTGTTTTTAATACCCTAATACTCCATCACCTTGCCAGAGGTGAATGCAAGTTTATTATCTTGCTGTAGTGCAGATGACTCCATTCTTGTCCCTTTGGCTCAGAGCTCACCTTGGCTCCTCATTTGTTCACGCATGAGCTTGGTGGGGACTCAACCAGCAGGAGCCACTTCACAGTCCTTGTAAAATGTATGAGGTTCTTTGGCTTCTGCTTGGGTTTAGATCTCGTATATCAGATAACTACTCTTTTTTATTTATGGAGTTTCTCCTGTTTGATTAGGCTGTGTTGTGAGCCAGGCTGGCTGGGGCAGGTGGAGGAGGGCTTTGGTCCCTGATGCAGCGTTCCCACGCGCGGAGGTCAGGCAGTCCCCGCCTGTCGGCCCTGGAGACACTCATACTTAGCTGAATCTTTATATTTGCCTTTGATGATGATTTTGTTTTAATAACTGCCGTCCATAAGACGTGATCTTTTGACTTATCAGAATAATTCATGTGATTTTCCTAAGTGCTTGCTGCCTGCTGAAATCCTTTCCAGAGCTGTCAGTTGCTGCAGATGTGCAACTTAACTGCCTCCTCCTACTTGGCAACAATCGCAGTGATATCGGGTGGCTGTAGGGCCTCGGGGATAGAATAAAAACCAATTGCTTACTTCACTTCTTCTAATTATTTTTTCATTTTAATATAGTGCTGGACATATTACGGAAAGGACAACTTAATGAATGTAAATAATCAATTTACCAGTGGATACTTGCTTTACTTAGACAAAGAGCACAAAGCTATAGGTAATAAGCCGTGATGGGCCCAAAGTGAGTCGTGAGATCCAGTATGTTCTGCCTCCAACGTCAGTATTATCTGTGTTTTCCTAGTCACTCTCCACTCTCGATAATGGAGATAGCAATATCCCTGTTAATTTGTATTATTTTACAGTTTCCAATTTTTGTCGCATTTGTCCATGACAGCTGGAAATGCCAAAGGTTAAGCAGTAGTAGGGATTTTGCTGATGATGTGGCAAGGTAGCAGGGGAGCAATGGCAGGACCTACAGTCCCTTTCATTTTACAACATAAAACCTTATCCATGCAAGGAGGCAAGCAAACCGTTTGCAGTAAACGGCAAGCTACTGCATTCGTTTTGGTGAGACTACTCTCGCAAAGGAAAACGTGAGCAGTTTCTTGAAGAACTTTGTGAAGTAAATATGATTTGTTATTTAGAGGAATAAACAAGTTAGCACTTATCATTACAAAGCATGGCAGTAGCATAAAATGTTTCTTGATTTCTGCAGTTTTCAGCTGGCTAAAACTGTAGTTTTGCAGTTTAAAACCTCTACTTTGAGTTGTTATACCTTCCTTTAATTTCATGGTGTATGTAATATATAACATACTCTTAATGTATTAAAATCATAAATCTGAAAGGTAGTGAATAAGAAAAAAGCATTGACGCAACATGGAAATTGTGTTAAGTATAAAGACATATGCATATTTTAATATGCTCAGTTGGAATCCTATTTATTTCAAAGGCGTTTGAAAGTGACCCTTAGGAGAAGCTGAAGTCAGGTTTAATGGCATAAACTGTTTGAACTTGGACTACGCTTGGCAGTGGATGGTGGGGCCTATTTCTGTTCCTACCACGCCACAAAAAACAACTCTCCTTTCTCCTCTTCTCACCAGCAATTCCTACTCGTGCTCTCCCCCAGCCCTTAAGAGGGCAGGGATCAGCTAGGGACCCGGAGCGGAGTCGTAGGAACGAGGGCCTTTGCCTGCCGTTGCTGGGAGCAGGGCTGCGTCTCCCAGCGGGCACGGACCATGCGCTGTAGCAGTAGCTTCCTGCGCACGTTTCAGCTGAGCAGCAGCTCAGGGCTCTGCAGAGATGATGAGTCTCTGCCCCAAGGAACTTCCTTATCTGTGAAGCTGCTCCGATTGCCTCTATGTACGTAGCCTTCTTCCCTCTGCTTGGAGAAAACTTCCTTGTCTTCAGTGTCCTTTCATAAAATTACAAACCATTGGACTATTTCATGAAAGAAAATGTACCTCTTCTGTTTCTCAGAGTGTGGAAGATGCATCTTTTTTCCTAGTTAAAAGCAAGTATTGGAAAACCACCGAAGCGTTCAGTGTGTGTGTGTGTGTTGGGGGGGCTCTTGGGGGGTGGTGGTGTTTTGGAGGGTTTTTTTTTTAATGCTACTACTGTGATAGGGTTTGACAATTCAGAGGTGTTTAGATTAATTTGAAGCCTGAAATACCATGCAAGATGAGGATCTGAGTACAAGCAAAGTATTTCTTCTTGTATTTCTTTTAATATAAATGTAACTTTCCTCCCATTGGGCCACTTAATATGACAAAAAGTCACCAATGTATGTTTTTAGTTTTCTTTATTTAAAAAATTTTTGTATAAGCTCATAAGAATGTATATATTATGCAGTTTGTACAAACGTGTTACCGTGGTATGTACGCGCTAGGCTCTGTCTCAGAAGTGATCCTTACAAAAAAGCAAACAAGGGGAAAAGGCAGGACAAAATGTGGAAATTAAGCAGAAAGCAATATAACACATCTTTTTATTGTTTAACATATTGAATCGTCGTCATATTCCTAGCATATTCTGCAAGCGTTCCAATGCCATATAGCCAGATGAAGGCCAGACTTGTTACTAAACCAAAGCAGACGTTAGCCGCGGCTCTGACATCCTACGCTTTCAGTCCACAGCAGCCTTTCTGGGGGCAGCCGTGCGGTTTAACTCGGGCTGCAGCCCGAGATAGTCCCTGCAGCTTTTGTGGCCTTAACTGCTAGGTTTGGAGTTGATTTGTTTTCTGAGGGCTGACCACTTTATCCTACCTCCAGTAATAACCTAATTAAAAAGCAAACTGAATGGGTGAGTTAATTCACTTTTTCTCCTGCTTAGATGTACCTTTCTCTAACCAAAAGTATCCTATTTCAAATAACTTCAAAATATCACAGGTGTGCTGATATTTGCTTTCTTTGACAGTATATCTTTCTTGATAGAAGTTCTTGATTTTTTTTTGATAAAGTAAAATTGAGAGGTGGGAAGATGGTGTATAGTCAGTTAAATTGTACCTACACTCCCGATTTCGGGGGGGGGGGGGGGGAACATACTATTTTGCTTTCATTCTTGCAGCTACTGTAGAGTTGGAACCTGCTCATACATGTAGCCCTAGTAATGGAGAAATATGTACAATAGCTTACATAGTTTGGGACTGCAGAGAAAAAAATTTATCTACATCTAAAGTTTATTCAGTATTTTGTGAAACTCATTTGGAATCTCACTTCAGGCCCATCTAAAAATGTCATATTATCAAGGGGGTAATATATCTTTAAAGAAAGAAAAAATCTAAGTCAAACTTGAAACAATTTAATTTATAAGCTGAAAATCAGAAACATTTGCTTCATATATGTCAAAATAAAATACTATGACTTCCCCAGAAAGTAATTTTAGGGAACCCTGGCTGCTGAAATCTGCCAGAATTCGCAAATACTTTTTTAAAAAAGTGTACTGCCACAAACGTCGCGTGCCAAAATATTGGATGCAGCTTAACAAGGAGGCAAACCGCTGAGGGACCTTGCGCTCGCGCCGCCCAGACAGGGGTGGCAGGGGCCCCTTCTCCCCATCCTCCTCTTGCCTTGCGGCCTGCGCCCCAGGAGGGGCTAGCGCGGCAGCTCCTCTGGCTTCCTCATTCTCTGCACGAGTTTGAAGGTGGGCACTGCCTTCCGCATAGGCGTTGCTGGTGTGAGGCTTGCAGAAAATGAGTCACACTGTTTCGCAAGGTTTTTTTGGACAGAAATAAAACCTATAACTCATAGTTTTCTTGGTATGGAAGTACCAGAAAGCAAGAAGTGATTGCTATAGTCAGAAACTTCTTACTGGGCAACTTCTGTACTTGGAGTGTATTGATCCATGGGTATATAGACATTATAGTAATAAAGCTAATATGTCTAGCCAGCATGGCACTCAGACTGCAGTGTAATTTGCAAGAAGTAACGCTTTCACCTTCACATCCCGAGGTAGCTGAAACAGTTATTTATTCAGCAGCGCGTAGACTGTATGTATATCTGCTCCCGTCCTGCCCAGAGCCCTGTTGTTATCTGAGCTAGGAGAGGTCTCGTTTGGCTCTGGGCAAGTCCTCGTTACGAGGCAGTAAAGGCTCTCGTTTCTGTACGTGTCACTGCTACCACTTACTGCATATGGAGTACCTGTGGAAAACAAAATGAATTAATTTCACAGGATTAGAATTGGTTATTTTTTTGTTTAAAAAATATCAAAATAAATTAATTCCCCCCCCCCTTTAGGGGGGCAGAGGGGATCTCCTCTGTCCTATACCCGAGCACTGGATTGTATTCTGTTCTAAGTCAGAGTTAAGAGAAGTCATATACCAGCAATAGTGTAATGACTGCAGGATGGAGTGTCTGTGAAGCACTTCCCTAGCAAAATTTCTTTCTGGCCTCCCCACTGAGGATACAAAGAGCTTATGTTCTTACCTCGCATGGAGAATGAAAGCCTGAGACAGGGAGCTCTAACTTGATCAAAGTCAGAAAAGAGAGAAGAAGAGAAAACTGAGACTGTGTCTTCCAATTCTCTTGTATTTTATGTGTACAGTCCTCCTCAGATATCTACTGTTTGCTTAACTAATTTGCTTAGCGCATTTTTAATTGCCAAAAAGAATTGGCATTGTGTGACATTTCAGTACTATAAACAGTGAACTAAGAGTGTGTCTACATAAACAAGTCTGGAGCAGTGTGAACAGCTATTGAACAACAGCTCATTCTGCAGAGCCTCCTTTATGGATCTTCGTTGCATCTTTACATCAATTCTATTCTTTAATTCACTTTGGAAGCTAATTAACATTGATCTGCAGAAGCCTTCATCAGGAGATAGACGTGTATCAATGAATTAATTAATTAAATTAATTTAATTAAATAATTAGTTAATGCTAAAGAGCCCATGTCCACTAAATTCTCACCAGAGCTACCCTGAGTCAGCTTCTACGTGAGTCCTCCCATATAGACAAACCCTGATAAACCTGCAGTGCAAGATAGCTTCAATCTACTCTGAAGATAACTTCAAAAGCTTGTTCAAAACGTCATGCTTACATTCATTTTCTGTCTTTCCAGTGGCATCACGATCTCTAGAATAAAAATGATGAGAAGATCTGTTTATAGTCATTCTAGCCTATGTAGATAACTTTAAAAATAATTTTTGATATTCCATCAGGTATGTTTTTTTCAAGGTAGTACCTGGTAAATTCTGTGGTTGTTTTCTTCCCTGAAACAGATAAAAACAGGTTATAAAGTGTTATTAATTCAAAAGCATCATTTGTAGGATTTCTCTTGAATTAGAGCAAAAATAAATGATTGGACATGTTCCTTACCTTTTGATCTGAACATCTTCAGATAGATCAGCCCTGCTGCCACACTGAGAAAAATAATCCCAAGTACAGCTCCAGAGATGATATGCCACTGCACAGCTAAATAAAATTGATTATATTTTTAACACATGAATCAGTAGTGACATTTGGATCAAGGTGTTTAGTCAGTATCATCATCTACAGTGTTTTACAAGTGATCACTTGATGTTTAGCTGCTGTGAAGATAATTTACATGTAACTCCCTCATTATAGATGACTGCAAATTACTTGATTTCTGTAGCACGCTTCCCTCATTTAAAAAAAAATTATTACATTCGTCTACACTGATGAGCAAAAAAAAGGTGTTTATTGCAGTGATACTGTGATACGTTCAGAGGTTGCCATAGGATGTTGTCCGGTATGTATTTGTCCACATAGCACAACTTGAAAAAAGTAGTGGAGAGAATTACATTTTGAAAGGCATCTTAGACTGCTCAGCCTGTGTGCCACAGTCGCCAAGGGAGTTACGTTAGGCTTTACCAGCAGCCTAGGAAAGATCAAAACCTAGCCTCTCCCCAGGGTTTGTGGTCCCTGGCCATTAGGATACCTGATGCAGTCATACAAGGTATGCCAGGTACTGGGCGGAGTGGGAAGGCAAACAAGATCTTTCTGTTTTCCACCTCGTCTTGGGAAGAGGGGGAACGTGGAGGCTCTGTGCAGCCTGCTGCCTGCCCTGCTGCACCCTGCTCCTTTTTAAGGCCTTAGGTTTACTGCCCTTCGTCAGTTAGGTGTGAAGTTTTGGCTTCTCTGAAAAATGTTAACGTTGTACCTGGGTTAAAGATGCCTCTTCCGCATATACTGCGATATTGAAAGACTGTCCTCCCCACTCAAATTATTCTAACCTTGATCATAAAAAAGAAATTATAGTGAGACTGTAAACCACTTGCACTGTCATTCATTTTCCTTGGTGTGCATACAGCCTTATTGCAGATATGGAGTTAATCTTATACATGATACAATTACTTATCATCCACAAAGCATTCTACATGAAATAGTGGCCAAATGGTCCCTGGTACACTGCCACTTCATGATGCAGAGTTACTCTTTTAAGTTATTTAGAGAGTGATTAATACCCTGGAAGAATAATAATCTTAGAAAATGAATGATTTTTGAAATGAATTGCAATGTGTTTGATCACATTATTGGGAGATAGGATTTTATATGGCTTACTTTAGTGCCAGGATATAGAGCGTTTAAACAAGAGGCACTTTCTCAGAAGAGTACAGATGTTGCCACTACAAGCTACAGTCTGTTAGGAACATATTTTCCGCTTACATGCCGCTTTGTCTTTCTGAACATCCACAGACTGGTTATTAGGAACTTGCCACTCAAATTTACCATTCTGCCAGGCAGCAACAATGCATAAATATTGCCCGCTGTCAGAACTAGTGACGTTCAGAATAGTCATGTTATGTTTTTTGTGAGGAGAATTGAAGTTTGTATGGTTCAACAGTCGTTCCTGGATGTCTCGATCAACACAGCAGTGCTCATTAAAAGTCAAGCTTGAGGCCAGGTCTTCATTCGCAGCAGAAAAAAGGCATTCGCTTGTTTTACTGACTCTGATCCAGTACATAAAAAAACAGTGTCCTGAGCACTCAGTGTAAAATTCACAAGACAGGGTGATGTTTTCTTGTTCTTTGAATTTGAGAGGAACTTGTGATTTTTTCTGAACGTTGCCTGAGCTCTTTTTCCCTGAAACAAAGGAAACAAACACAAAAGATATTACGAATGAGACTTATCTAGCAATCGTTTGAGGAAATGTGAGAACTGCATGAAGAACAAATGCCATCTTAGACACAACTTAAACTATGTTTTACACACTGACTCACGGTAATTCAGTTAAAATATTTCTGTTGCGTTATACCTGGGTGACAAATAGAGATTATATTCCTTGATATGTCTAGACTGTAGGTAACATGGAAAACAAAGCCATCTGAAGTGACTCTCTGGCACCAGGATAAGTGGGTTTTTGGTAATCATTCTGACACTCAACTTCAACATAAACCATTAGGCAGTAATGCTCTTCAAAGGGGATGATGCTTTGATAATTAAAAAAAAAAAGTCATATATAAGGTGAAGTAGTCTGCTCTTAGCACAGTGGCATATGCTGTCAGTGGTACCTCCAGCCTCAGCGTCTGGGGGCCTTATCTAGCAAATCTGGACTTTTCTAAGCCATGCTGGAGAGGTGTCAGCCGAAGCCCTTCCTGGCCCCAGTGCGCAGTTGCCCTCCCTGCAGCCGGCCCTCCTCCCTGGTGCCAGGAATCTCCCAGCCAGTGGCAAAGCTCAGGCCATGCCCTTTTCTGCACTTGAGGCAACACACGGCGTTGTTTCTTCTGCTTGTTTTAGATCTGAAATAGGGCTAACTTGTTGTGAGTATCATCTAAGCAAAATGTTTAACAAGCTTGCAGAAGATTTAGAAATAATGGAATAGCTATTGAAGTCTAGCTACTTAAGGCAGTCCAACTGCACTAAACATTGAACAGGGTAATGTGAGAACAGCAACCATCTGCTTGTACATATAGGTTAAATCGCTTGCTATATCGAAAAAATTCAGTTTGCTTGACTATCTGAAATTTAAATGGCCAATTTTCCATTATAACACAAGCCAGCAAAAAAATGTAGCCCCTTTTCAATGCCAGGACTCTCGAGAGCGTTCTGGAAGGACAAGGTGCAACAGTCTTCATTAATTGGTCTATTGGGAAAATGTTCACAGGTCTAAGCCAAAGCTTTTTAAAACCTTTATGCTATTTTACTCCCATTTGCCAGCCAAAAAGACCCGAAGCCTTGGCAAAAATCTCATTCTGGGTGGAGAAATTCAGAAAGCAGAGTTAAAACAAGACTGTTGGTGCTGTGCTTCCTGTAGCTTAAAACTCCTTTTTCCTAAATCAAACTATTATCACTAACTCAGTGGCTCACTTTGTCTGCTAGGTATGAAGGAGATATGTGGCTGTTGCTTTGCTCCTGCATCTCCAAAAAAAGTCTCTATGGGGAAGTGAAGAGTACCAAGGTCAATGGGAGTTATTTAAAAAAGGCTGAGCATACTGTGAGTGAAGGTGCTAGGAGTCAGGACTTAAAACAGATTGAAACAATAAAAATGACTTTGGTAGAAAGTGTAAATCTTTAAAGGTACCAACTCGATTTTCTTTTATTTTGAATTTTCTTTTCTTTTTTTTTTAACAGCATGTTCTCTTCTCTCAACCATCCAACTTTCTCCTTTCTCCTAGATTCTGTGTTTATGTGATTTCTCCTCCTACATTCCACTCAGACCATAAGTCACAGTCACGTTCACCCTTAACTCGCTACGTTTCTTCTCTCCTCTGAAGAATTCCTTTTTTGTGTCTAAGATACAGGGTGTTTTTTTACAGTAGTAAAATATTTTTCCGTCTAAGAAAATGGGCTAAATGTTGTGGCAGTACATGTTCTCTAAAATAATCTCCTCTTCAGTGCAAACTCACCGATGTCCTTTATGGGCCTCCAAGCTGAAGATGAGCTTATTCGGAGAAGTATAGAGATATGAACTGATAAAAAGCATCACTCACCTGATTCAGTGTTAGTCTGTACAAGAAAGAAGTTATAGTGCCTGCAGTGAGACACATTGCTGAACAGTAGGGAAGTCACCGGTGCTTCATCACTTGAAATTGCTCCACATGCAAACATCCCCTCATCAGACAAAGCGTGTGTCACCTCTAAGGTATCATTGCAAGCCATTTCTGAACATGAGTGATTACACTTGGAAGAGCAGTTAATTAACTCCAGTTGTTGCATATCACTTGCTGTCTTATACCAGTCTGTTCTTTTATTTTCTTTAGCACCTGGCTGATTGCACTGAAGTATAAGATTTCCATGTTCTTGTTGGCAAAAGAAAGTCTCACCTGTTAAGAATATTTACATTGTTAATGAAGCAAACTTATCTGGAAAAACAGCCAGATCTTTAAAAACTTGAGCTTCTTTTGTGTTGTCAAAATAAGCTATTGTATTGGCAATGCAGTGATGGACCCTGTCCTCCTCAGGGGTCCGGCTGCGTTCCTCTTGGAAGCAGTTTCTAAGATGAAGCCTTCTGAACGCAGATCTGGACTCTTTGCTTGGAGTGAGCAGCATAGTGAACAAAGCATCGCTCATGTTTTCTAAATGATACAGTATAGGCACTCTGTTTGTTTAACAGAGCAATTTTGTGGATATTGCTGATCACATTAATGATACTAAATACAGTTTAAAGATGAAAATATGGTACAGATAGATATTTCTTTAGTTAAAAATCCCATATAAATTATCTTAAGAAGCAGGGAGCTACAGTCAGCCACTGCACTTTCAGCGCGGCAGGTTTAGCCTGCTGTCAGTTTGTGTCTTGCTAGGTATAAATGCAGTCTCTGATCTTGCAAACACACAGGCAGTTGAAACTACTTATATGTAGAATATTATTAATACTTCACTACTGACTGCAGAACTGGAGCCCAACTTTATTATGAACATTTTATGGAGCATGTATCCAAAATGCAGCCAACAGTACGTTTCAATATTTTTTTTCTAAATAAAAGAAAAATACTAAGAAATAAAGCCGTTTTAGTCAGTTAGAGTCCTCGTGTGTGAAGCCTCCACAGCCAGCTGCAAAATATTGAGTAGGGCTAGACCTGTGTGACTCAAGGATGGGAGGATGTGTTTAGGGATTGTACTTGAGCATCTTTAAAAAGGTGTAAAGATGTACTTGAGTACATCTTTATACTTTGTAATATTCTAGAATAAAGTGAGATTGAAAACTAAACATTTTAAAAAAGGAAGAAAAATGTTTGAAATTTTTCTGTCCATGTCTGTCTAGATAGCTGTGAAAACTCTCAATTGAGATAACTGGCAGAGATATATGAGACAGCCGTAAGAAGTGGAAATATTAATGTTGGCACCCCGAGCTGGCTGCTTGCAGCTTTCTACACCCCCAACGGCAGTTGTTGACGGCCAGGGTCTGGCACGAATGGGCACAAACCTGCCGTGCCCGAGGTCGGTGGGACCAGCTGTGAACGCTCCCCCTCATCCTCTTTCCCCATTTACCTGCCATCAGTGCTGCCACTTCTTTTCTGCAAAGCTGTTTTGAGACAAGGAAATGCTCTTTTCTGCAGTTTTAAGACGTGATCCTTCCGTAAGAGGAGCATGCCTATAGCCACTCCCTCGTGCAAGCTGAGGACTGATCTCTGCATTCACGTACTTTTGTCAAGGGTCTTTTTTATATATATGTATACACACATATATATATATATGTGTGTGTGTATATATGTAAAAAAAAAGGAAGCAAAAGGAACTTACAGGTTGCTAAAGACAGAAATGAGAAAACGTACTCTACCTGTTATTTCTCCTAGAAAAGACAAGATCAGTAGGAAATACATTCCTATCCGCAGGGAGGAGGACAGTGTGGCTATCCGTTTCACTCGCTTTCTTTCCTAACTCTAAATAGGGCTCAGGAAAAGAAAAAAACGGAAGTGATGACAAGGCACAAAGCCCTAGCCTTTCCTTCCCAAAACCGCTCTGCCATCTAAGACTAAACCACTTAAAGATGAAACTGAATGACAATAAATTAAGGTCGGCTCTAGGGACCAGCAGATCTGTACTGCTTGTGTAGACATTTTTCATTTACTTTAAAATAGGAGAGCCCCTGTATCCGTAGATGCCGCAGGGGTGGCCACGTGCGTGGGAGCACCAGCGGCGCGGGCATCTCGCCGGCAGCCTCGGGAGAGCTTTAGTAGAGAAGGGCTATCGATCGCAGCCCTGCTGCGGTGGCCTCGGGCCCCTGGCAAAGGTTAGCGTTGCTCCGAGACCCGCGCTACCATGCTGAGGGCTGTCAGCCTGCAGCAAATCAGAGCAGGCTTCATGCCCGGCCGCGCCTGGAGAGGAGCCTTGGCTGGAGCGGGCTCCCATAGGCAGCCATCGCTGCGCTTTTGGCCACAGGAAGAACTGGCTGAAGTTCAAACTGCAGTTCTGTATCAGCAAGTGTTCAGAGCAGACGCAAGCAAGGCGTTGCACAGCTTCCTTAACGTTCAAGTCTCTCAACTCTGTTTCTGCAACAGCCGTCCCCTCACGCTCCTGTACTGCTTGTGCTCATGGGGACAGGCCACAGGCAGTGGCGTTGCTCCTCCCAAAAAATACTATGTTTATGACAGAGACTTTGCCAGCTTTCTTACATTTGTTTTTCTTCCAGAAATAATTTTCCCATGTCAGGTCTTTCGTTTGCTAGCCAGTTCTTGCCTCAGTATTGGCATAATGAAGTAACTCAATGGGGAGGTATGGTAAGTTATATTTTAAAAGTGTTTGTGAATAATAGTATGTACTATCTCTTTATTTATAATAATTAAAAAGACAAGTCGGGAACCTTCTGCTTGAGGTGCTTAATCTTTTTGTCTTTGTTAATCATCTGTTCACAATAGAGAAACAGCAGTGTGCATACATATTGCTTGAGTGAAACGTCTCAAGAAGAGTATGACTGTATAAAGTGCTATGATGAGAAATTAACTACCAAGTGAAGAAATTTTTCTTAAGAGGAAAGCATGTTTTGTCTCGCTTCCTTTTTTTCTTTACTAAAACTGCCAGATGGTAAAGCAAAAGGCAGAAGTTAAGAAGAAATAGAAAGATTTAAGATAATAGTATCTTCCACATGTAGCAACGTGTTGACCGCATACAAGTATCCTGTTGATGTGGCATAGATGACAGCAGATACTTGTGATCAGGAGATACAGAAAGCAAAGACGAAAGTGCCACAGGATGTGTAAACAGGGAATGTGTGCACATAGATTTCATAAAAACAGCTGTTCTTGTCTTTTCAGATTTAAAAGACAAAATAATAAGCCAGATTTGTGAATGTATCTTTATATTCCTCATCTCCCGGTACAGGCCTTTTGTTTGTATTTCCTTGCAAAGCTAGCTCTTATATGTGTGATAAGTTGCTCTGAGTAAGCCATGTAGATACTTGGGAACATGCTTGCTTGCTTTTTTGTTCACTGATGGATTTGGGTCTGGCCAGTTGTTTAGGCGATGGGAAGAGCTTGAAGACCTTGTCAGAACTAGGCTGAGGTTCCCACCTGGAGCTCTGGGCTCCCCACTGCAGCACCGGTTCTTTCATGCAACTTCTGCTCTTTTTATCACATTACAGAGGTCTGCCTTGGGTTCGCTTTGGTGTTTGGTCTGGTTTTAATTTAAGAATATCCAGAGTTGGAGCCTAGGTGTTCAAGACTGTGAGTTTAAGGAAACATGGCTATCTAAAAAGCAAATCAAAAAACACTGGTGTCCCTTCACCATTTCCTTCTATCCCATGTGAGTGATTTCAATTGTGAATTTGGAGCTTTGGGGGTTTTCGGTTTGCTATGTATTCTGCTCATAGTTGCTTTCCACTGCACAGTTATAGACATTTATAACTAATTTATGTGGTAGAGGGAAAGGAAAATGGAGAAAGTCTTCTGATTTCAGAAACTGTTTCTTGGAAATGTCACTTACGTTTAAATCATGAAGATGTTTCAGCCTTCTAAGTAGTTCATTGCAGCATTTCTTGTCTCATACTCTTATCTATCTCATACTGCTGAAAGCCATCATAGTGATATAAAGTTTGAATTTACGTTTATAGAACTGGGACATTCTCCAATAACAAGGTTTGGAGTTGAAGACACCCCACTAATTTCTGGTTCTGTACGGAGAACTTAATCAGTCCAGAAAAAATATAGTAATAATTCTTATCTTCTGAGCTTTGCTTATTCCCAAACTTCCTCTCGCCAAAAAAAAAAGTTGTCTCTTTCCACCTTCGTCAATTTAATGAGCTTCTGTATCTATTAAACTTAATGGTAGGCACAAACTGTGAAGACCTTACAGAGTCTTACTGAATTTTTATTTACAGTATTGAGCGTTCACAATCAAGCATATGGAACAAAACCAGTTTCCAGCACAAGATATTTCAGTTCATTAGAGGAGGAGTATGAACAGTCCCCGGCAGAATATGCAGACAAGACATTGTAGGCCTAGCTTGTGCAGAAAACTGGAAAAACAGAAAGGAGAGTAATTGAAGGGAAAAAAACAAAACAGTTTATTTTTTCTATTGTTCAAGTTAAGTAAAACGCAGCAAGCAGGAAGGAGCATAAATTATTATCAATTCTTGTGGATTCTCTGTTTTGTAACAAATATATCATTGTTTGTTTCTGTAATTTTTAGCTTTGTTTTAATCTTCAAACCAGTCTTGTGCTGCATCAGCAGGTAGATACCCTTCCTTGCCTTTACTCAAGAGGGTACCATTGCATCATGCCATTATTCTGTCTTAGCTCTTTCTCCCTGTTTCTTCTTCAGCTTTTTCTACCTTACTTCATAATGGTTTTTCCCACTCTTGCTTTCCATCTCGATTTTGCTGCACAACCCTGCTGGACTGTCCTTTCTATCCCTCCTCCTACTGGAGATCACAGCCGGACACTCTAGGTTTGAGAAAAATATATGCCGTGATCCGGATGAGCCTTCTGGCTCAGACCTGAATATTATGGCTGTAGGCAGGTGCAGTTTAGATCAGTGGACTATTGACTAAATCTATAACCAGGAATATGTAAGTTCCTTTCACAACTGGCTAAGCAGACCAGTTAGACCAATCTGGGGAAATGTGGGAAAGCTAAACGTGTGCCTGTGTGTGCACGCGCACGTGTGTGTGTGTGTACGCGTAGGCCTAGCTGACTTTTTTTTTTTTCCCGACATACAATTCTCTTTCTCTAACCTGTGTCTTCCCCAACATAGCATCACTTCTTTTTGATTTGAAGACACTGATTAACTGTAGCTCAGATTTCAATATTGTTTTGTTTTGGGCTTCAATTATTTCCTTGTGCTCAGATTTAGGAAAAATATTTTCAAAACAGCAAAAGTAAAATTAGTTAATATTTTCTGTGTTGTTTTATACCTGGATGAATCACACATGACTTTACAAGAGAAACATTTTTATTAAAATCATACATAAACTGTTTCTCTGATTCCCTGTGTGCTTCTTCATATACAAGATTCTCTCCAGTACAGATTTCCAATTACAGAAGAAAAAAGTTGTTGAGTTTTTGTTCTGCCTTTTTGTTTGTTGAGATTTTTTTTTTTTACAAAACATCAGTGATAGTTTCTCCACTGCACATGGCTAAATACTTAAGAATAGAGCAGAATACAGACATGAAGAAAGAATGAATTCTTCAGACATTTCTTAAGAAATATTTGCAAACATTTCATTGTCTCCCTTCAGTGAACTGGGCTTTTCCTTTAGCTGCCATTGTAAAACTATTTCACTACACATAGTCAGATGATACAAAATAGGAATGAGAGAGGCAGTTTTGTTATCAGAGAGCACTGGAAACTGAAGTTGCAAATATTTCCAGTATCTTTGATAAATTAAAATACTTTCAACCATGTAGGAAGTGAGTACCAACTTTGGCACTAATCCTACAAAGACTTATGGGTTTTTTTGATTTTACACGCTGTGCTGTCCTAGTCAAGTCAATGAGTCCGTCTTTGGAGCAATGTGGTAACACCACAGGCCAAACCCTGTTTCATGGAAGTGCCACAGTATTTGCCACTGACTGTCCAAATAGGACTGTCCACTGTTTAGCAATACTGACCAAAAGAAAAGTCGATTAAAGACAGTGCAAAGATACCCTATTAACTTGTACATGTTAACAGTAAAGCCTATGTAAGTTAATAATATTTTTGTTCATTAGTTAATAGTAATTGTAAAATAGGATACTGGATGAGGCCTTCTATTCTTTATGAATGCTTAATCCTGCATGACTTGAAAACATTAAGAGCAGTATTAAGCTATGAATGAACACATAAAATAAAAATATTTATTTTCCAGTCTAGAGTAATACACCCTATAGGTATGTAATTTATTATGGGAATGCAAATAAGCACCATTATTATTTGGAAATACTGTAAATTAAATTACCAATTTGAATCTAATAAATTATTAAAATTTGAAGAGTCAGTTTTTTACTTTATCAATAAAAATTTCTAAGTGGATCATAAATGGCATTTTATTTTACCTTACGTTCTCCAGAATATTTTAGAGTATCACTTTTACTTTTGTCTTTAAATGTTCAAAGTTTTTACTGATATAATGAAACAAGTCACAGGAACACATGCCTAATTATACAATACTGTATATAGATCTTTTACCCCATCTCATCTCCACTTGCTTGTTAGTTTAGAAAGGTCACAATACTTAAATACACAAGTTAGTTAAGTTTATTATGTTGCTCATAAGTCATTTTAGTCTACAACTGCATTATATAACACTATTTAATTTAAATATACACGTGTGCGTGTGCACGCACACCCCCCCACCCACCCACACCCACACACAGAGGATTTTTGTAAAACTAAACAAAGGTTTTCTAATGGTATCTTGGTTTTGAAAATTGGTCTATTCAGTGCCAATTCTGCTTCCCAGGAAGTCAATAGAAAGTCACTGTAAAAATGTCCATTGACTTCAAAGACAGTAATCTGTGTCAAGGCAGAGAACCTTGCCAACGTGATACTAAACAAGGGATATCAACTTGTTCTTAAAACAAAAAAAGTGAGAGTGCAGATGCTTATATATATAAGCATATAACTGCTTGATCAAGCCTACAAAACTAGGGACCACTGATATGCCTTTAGCAAATTAGGTGCCAGCTTCACCAATATATTACTCCAGTTTTACACCGTTGTAAATCTCCTGAACTCAGCTGGAGTAGTGCAGTGGCAAATCAGCACCTGAGGGCCGTAAAGGGTTTTGTCAGTTGATCTATTAAAAGCTTGCATTTGCCACTTAGAGCAACATAGAGACCTGGGGAAGAGCAGCATGTCATTTAGTACATGCATTTCATTTGGACTACAGACTGGAACAAGGTTATAGCCTGTCTCTTTAGACAGGTAAGCAATCTGCTCTCAGGCAAAATCTGCCATCATGGTCTAGACTCTGCCCAGGGTGGAAGCTCCTGTTTCACCTGGTGGATCTGCTTCTGGAGTTCATCTTTGTCAAGTTTCATTTTTGCTTCTAGAACTTGCCGTAGAGACCCGATGCTCTCATAGATAGCTGCAAATCCTAATTGCAGACAAAAGTTGAATTAGTGTATAATCAAAAGCAAAAGAATATGAGATACCTACTATCAGGATAGACTTTCTACCATAACAGTCCATTTTTACACTAGGAGGATAGCAAAAGTCTGGAAGAATAATAGGGCTTTAATTGTGCTGCTGTGCTGATTGCAAAAAATGCCCCTGATTGCAGCCAAACTATGCCTAGGCACATTTTATGAGGGGAAAAAAAAAAGTTTTAAGCTAATAAGATGTCACCTTTTGTTGCTGTGAATTTCAGACTTCCCAAAAATCCTTTTGGATGGCACAAATGCAGCCATTACATCTGTCCCCAAAGTCTTTAAACTACTTTGCTACAATCAAACACATTTTGCAAATTATTATAGGTCAAGCATGGTCACCATAATTCAGAATGAAGAACTTGGTAACTATGGTCCTACCAGCATTTACTTCAGCTTTCATTTCTTTTATATCTTCATTAATCTCATTTTGAAGTTTGCCAATACGAACATTTATCTTTTCTTCAGTCTGTTTCGCTTCATGTTCTTCCATGGTTATCTTTTGTATTTCTTCTATTTTATCAATTTTCTCTGACATTTGGTTGAATTTCATCTCTATAGCCCTTTCACTCATTTCCTGGTGTGAGGGAAAATAACTGGAATGGGTTACTCTGCGTGTGAAATTAGAGTGATCTTTTCCAGATATGCAGGAGGTATTAATTAATCATCATTTCCTATGTGAAATGTAAAGATGTAAGGAATTATACTTTATTTCATAAAACATCTTAAACCGGCTTGATTATTGTAAGCTACAATACTGATGTGTTTAAAAGTGTTCTGATTTATTTCCAGATTCTCAAGCCTTGTAAACATTATATTTGACATCAATGGGAGGAGAGTTTTACAGATACTGAGAAGGTCTGAAAAACCCACTCAGATAGCTCAATTGCATCATCTTGATAGTAACAATGCTTTTGTGTACTGTCTGAGAAGTATTAGAACGTTCTTATTGAAACTTACGGTGTTTTCCTTAACAGTCAATGAGAACTGGTCAATTTTTTGCAGAAGATCTTTTTCAATCCGCTCGTGTTCCTGTTCCAGCCAGCTACGTGCAGACAAAATCTGGCTGCTGAGTTCCTCAATAGCATTTTTTAATCTAAGAGCATAAGATAAATTAGGAGATAAAGAGAGCAGAACTTTTGGTCATTCTGCAGTGACTGTTTATGATGATTTTCATAAAAATTTAATGATAATTTAATACATTTTTGACATATTAAGGTGAATCTATGAACTTTAAGGCTATTACATTGGATAAAGTAACATATTTAATTGTTTTAGAAAATAAAGAATGAAACAACACAACAAAATAGCAATTATTTGTATAAACCATACCACAACATTGTGAGGCAATATGCCTCCAGTATAGATGCAAATAATACATATGCACTTAGTGTAGATGTGAATTCTTCTCAATTTAGGAAACAGAATATGATCATCCATTCATGTTATAATCTTCATGTCCATGGATCTTAAGTCTGAATAATGATTTGACAACCATTTCTTCTAGTAGCAGTGGCAGTTTATATTGCCCTGACTCTTGTCACCTGTACCTCAAGTTTACACCAACCAATTGTGCCAGTAGAACTGTTTCTTTAGACAGACTGGGGAAAAAAAACAAAGGAAAAATACAGCCCTTTTTTACAGTGAATATTTGAAATCTAGATCTCTGCTCTCGTCCGGTTTTCAAGTAGTTTTACTGACATAACTGGTAGGATTGCATGAGGATGCCAATAAGCAGTAAGGGGGAAAAAGAAGGACAGCTTAAGCCAGAACTGCATCTGAAAGAAATGCATGGAGAGGAGTCCATATTTAATTTAATTTATGCCTATAAATGTCTAGTAGTAGTTTAAATTCTTAGCTGTTTTCATCGTTAGTTCATCACTGATAATTCAGGTGTTTGAGGTAGTTGTATATACAACCTATCTGAAGCCAATTTAAAGCAGTGACCCTTGATGAACTGTGGGACTGGCTTCCTGGTTGCATGCAGCAGAGCGTTTTGCCCAGCTCTCAGCGCTCACATCTGGCGTGCTTTGCTTTACGCGTTTCTTGCGAAATGGTACCAGGCCACTTTTACAAAAATACTTATTATGTTCTTTAATACAAACTCTGCCTGAATATTTAGCTAGGGACTTAATGGGCTTTTCAGAAATGCCTAACCAGATTAGGGGCTTATTTCTCATTGAAAACCAGTACCATTTGACACACCATGTGACATCTACATATTTAGACAGCTAAATGCTTTTGTAGACCTATCCCTTAACTGAAGATTAGAGTCATGCAAAGGTCCTCTGGTTTTCGGGTCTGACAAGGCAGGTTTTCCCGTAAGGCCAGTACTCACTTCATGTCCAGAAGGTGGAGCTGTTGGTTGCTCTCTTTGTAGGCGATCTTCAGCTTTGCTTCCTGTTGCATTATTGATTGCTCTACTCTGCTCAGAAGATGAGAAATCTGAAACAAAATTCTGAATTTACTAGTTTTTGACAAAATTTTGTCATGTAGTCTCATTTGAGAGGTTTTTATAACACTAGAGGAGATATTAAAGAATGGCCATTTTTGCTGACATTTCCAAAATGATCAAATTAGTAATAGGATATCTCCAATTAAATTCAGAAATTTTATCGAAATAATACCCTTTATAATTGGAGATATCCTATTACTGATATAAAATATTTATCACAGAAACAATCATCCCGGTTTTAGAAAGTTCTGTTTTATATTTATTGGTATATATCTGATTTTACAGGATTCATGACAATATGTTCCTAGCGTGCTAACACGCCAAGATACTATACTGAGCCTTCCGAGGAAGCTAAAGTGAATTTTAACTATTTACCTGCCACAAAATGAAGATATAAAATGACTTTGTTGCCCAGGAAAATAGGAAGACACTGAGATGGAGGTGTGCAGAGTCCTTAATATCATAAGCCTCTGCTTGCATTTAGTACTGCCTTCCATTCTCATACCCAACAGAAGAAAACCCCAACAGACAGATTTCTGGAGTCACAGAACCCAAAGCCAGCTTCATATTGCAGACCTTCAAAACCAGTGTTTACATACACATGTCAAAAAAAAATCAGCCTGGGAAGGCCAAGAGTCAACTCCTTTATCCCATATATACCTCTAAGTTATGCAGAAAGGGGGGGGGGGGGTGAAAGGGCCTGGCTATGCATCAGGTAAGATCTGTTTTTATACTGAGGAAACAGGGACAGTAACTGTGCACTCTGGTCATATAAATACCCAAGTCACTTAGTGCAATACAAACATGTAGGTACTTTCTCCCCTTCACCTTTCTTCTCTCCAGTCTGCATTTATAAGGGCTGAATCTGTAGCAAAATACCCCTAATAGCTATTAATGTCCATGCACAAGAATTGGGAGACATTACATCTTCATTCCAGTCCTAAATTCTTCTTGGCCACAGTGCTGTTTCATTCTGCCCAAGGTAGAGGACAACAGACCTCTCTTGCTTTCAGGAAGCCGGTCTTTGTGAAAGTCACAGTTTTTGTGAAATTTAAATTTTATAAGTTCCTACTGAAAACTATGTTTTTAATTTATCAATTTTTTTCCAAAATATCTTATGATGAGATGTTTGTGTTCCTTAGCATTGCATATTGCGCATTCACAAAACACTCTGATAGTTTAGTAAGTGCAGAAAATGCACCCTGAAGCAACCCATTTCTTTATTTGTAGCATTTACACACACACACACCTAGAAAACAAATGTCTCATCTGTGCCAAGCTTTAGAGCAGTGCAATTTTTGTTGTATATAATTGAAATACTTGCTTGTCACTTCAGCAGATAAAGAGTGACCCTGGTCCTATAATAGATTATGGAACTTAGACCTTCTATTTTTTAAAATCTGTAAATATAACAGGATCACAGAAAATTCCTCCACTGATGTCTTTGCTGCCCAACTCCAAGAAAGATACTGGGACAGATTTTGCTTCTGACTGTACAATACAATTGATTTATTCTATGAGTTTACTTAATGTGTTCAGCAATTATTAGTTTCCCAGACATAGATCTAGACCGCATCACAGCATATAACAGCACAGAAACAAGAAACTGTTCTACTCGCATTTGCATTTTTGCTGAAAAGGAGGCAGAAATAGGAAGAGATAAGTCATGGCATCACTGCCTACAATCTGGTCCTTGGAATAGACTTGTGATCCCAGATGAACATTTCAGATAAAGTAGTTACATAAATCAAAACACACAGGGAGAAACACTGGTGCCTGCAGTTTTACGATAGTTTTGTGTGGCATCTGTGTTAACAATCTACCCTCAAGAAAGCGTTCTCGTTAGTAATCACTGAAGCTTGCTCATTCCAAGAGTTCTTTTAGGTACCTTTAAAATGACACTAGCCCCTTCTACACAGCATGCTAAAAGCAGCAAGCTAAGGACTTTTTTTTTTAATCAGTTAGACCAGTGTAGGAATGTAGGTCAGTACCAGCATTCAGTCTAATAAGGACTCTGAGCAGATACCTCGCCAGTTGTAAATCTGTGACCTCCCATGATACTAGTTAACAATAATGGTGTCCGTGTGAATTAGAGGATAACTCTTACCCATATGCGGAGCACTTAGCTGTACATACCATACCTGTATTTCTGCCTCTTTGATTTTAGATTCTAAGATCAGTTTAGAGGTGTGTTGATCTTTACTTAGGCTCTGAAGTCTTTCATACGTAATTTTGTGCTCTGCAGACAGTCTGGCTAACCCAGCATCACACCTGTTGGGATACATGAATACCAGTTAACAGCTGAGCAGAGCGCGAGGGCCAGGCTTTTAAAATTATACATTCCAGAATGGGCATAGTTTTGTTTCTCTGAGGCGTGACAGAAAATATAAAAAGCAACAGCTTTGCAACTACTGTAGCAAATGTGAACAGCAGGCATCTGTAATTGTTTTTAAGGCAAATTATTGTTTTGGATTTGATCACAGTGCATCTCTTCTCTGTGGTACTCACTTCTGTGATCAGAGAGGTCATACATTTTTAAGGCAACAGTGAAATATTAAAAGTTCTGATCGGTGTGACACTAATGTCAGTCTGCGGTATGTTAATGAGATTACTTACTATTTCTACAGATCTACTGTAATCAGCACCATTTAAAATACAGTTGAATTTTAAATCCCATTGTCTGTAATTGTGGAATATGTTTCAGGTTTATCCTGCAATGTTTCTTTCAAACAATATTCCATATATTAGAGGGGCCAAAGAGAAGACATCTCTTTGGTATAGGTGTTGTATGCCCTCACAAACACCTGGTGAGTTTTTGCTTGGAAGAAAATGCTAGTATGCTGCAGGCACAGAATTAGACTCTGATATCACTTTTGTGAGTGTACATTTCAAGTTAAAGATTTATAGCGATTAAATAATTTTAGTCCATGTTCTACCAGCTTTCAGATGGCCAAAAATACATTAGTAAGATTTGCATATGGAAAACCATGGTCTTTTCAACAGTTCTGCTTCAAGCTTATACTACATGAGGAGTCTGAAGAAAATGAGCACTCTAAAAAAAAACTGCTCATCGGAGTTTGGATTTTCTTCCTTGTTTAAAAAAACAAACAAAGAGCAGACATACTACAAATCCCCACTGAATTTTTCCTATCTCGGAAAGTTCCAATTTGATGTTTCTTTATAGATAGATTCATGATAAAGTGACAATAAAATCCTTCTTTAAAATATTGCTTAAATCCAATGTTCAGAAATATTTAATAGCTAGGTAATAAAATCAGACTGCCTATATAAATGTAGCTAGTGGAGTGCGGATATAAAGACAGAAGTTGAAAATAACTTTTGAAGTCTGATCACCTTAAAAGTGCATGGAAAGCAGTGAGAAATTAGATTAAGATTCCTAGGAGGAATACTAGTCCAAAATATCCGAGCTGAGGGTAAGGGTATAAAAAGTCAATTACAAAAAAGAGGTGTACTTCCAGCTCGCTCACAAAATAGTTAAGATTGTATTAAAGGCCATTTTGTACAAAGAAATGCACAATAAATAATTATCTATCTTCATGTCTAAAATGTTGAAGTAGGTCGCCCAAACAACCTGTTGTAGTTTTTCATGTGCAATTGCAGGCACACGCTGTTGAAATTTGGGGCAAATATGCATTAGAATGGGTTCGTTTTACTTGATTTTGGAGGGCATTTTCTAAAAGTTCCAATTACCAAGCTGCATACTTATGGGCAATCAGTAAATGAAGAATAAATGGAGAGATGGTTTTGTAGCGCCAAGTATTCTCAGTTTCAGAGTACAGTATAATTCCAGAAACCAATAATATTTAATATAAACAGTGAAATTTTCAAACGACTGTCTTCCAAATCATAGTATGCAAAAGCAGTAGTTGTTTTTCTGGCACAAAATTGGGTGTGTAGAGTATTTTTGTTGCTGGTGATCTTTAAGAAATCAAAACCTGATGGTTGTTCTATTCTGTATCATTAGTGACTAGATAAGGCTGAGAACTACCTCACTGCTCTGCAAGAGGATGCTGTATAGATAAGCCACCATGGCGTGTATAAATTTATAATATTCTTGTGTTATGATGACAGGCAAGCACAGGAGAGCTGTAGATTCTGAGTAGCCTGGACCTGCAAGGCCACGTGGGTCCTCGTTGTGCACATCTCCTGCGCAGCAAGTGCCCAGGGTGTGGCAGATTTATTGTACTTAGGAAGATCATATATGTAGTGCCTCCCAGATGCATCAGATTCATTGTGCAGTGCAGCAAAATCTGCCTACATGCGATACGTCCAGGATGTGTAGAATGAATCAGAGCAATAATGCACGAAAAAATCAACTGCATATGTAAAGTAGACCCAATCTACACATGTGTAGTTGCCACTTCTCTGGAGGTTTCAGGTATCAGATAGCCTCTAGAGACAGCTGCTGCTACTGTTCTGACAAGGCTGCCTGTGTGTAGACTTTCCAGACAAATGATCATAGTCCACAAGATATTTTGTACATATATGATAGGACAGCACTCATTCTCTAACGTCACTAGAAATGAAATTGGTAGATCTGTGTTGTATAAAACTATCAACATCAGGGACAGGAGGCTGGAGTAATGGATCTACCAACTCTCCTTAATTATGTGTCACTGAATTTAATAAAGGTAATTGTTTATATTGAAATTAATAATAATGATGATTGTTAAAAAAATGCACAGCATCATTTATGCTGACCGCTGTAATGATGTTTTGCAAATCCGTAGATAAGTAATGCATAATTAGAAATGGCTCAGAGACCTGAGCTGCAATGTAGATTCAAACTTCCCCTGCAAAGGTTTTTAGTTCATCTGGTAATGCAGGTGAACTCAAGTGTGAGGTCTGTCTGAATCGCGCTTGCCCAGGACTGTGGGCGGCGTGGTTTGGGAGCTGTGCTCCAGAACTGCATGTGTGTGCAGTGATCCTTGTTCTCACCATTAAAAGCAGCAACACTCAGGAATTAACAGGACAGCTGTTCAATGATGTATTGATACATTACAGAACAGTTGGTGTTAGGAAATAAATAATCCTCTCTCCAATATTGAGGTTGAATGGGATGTTTAGTATGCATGTAATTAGTGGAACTGAAATTTGGCCAGAATCCTAACATTGACGCTAAAATTTGTACAGGATGAAAAGGCTCAGACGTGTGCGGTTTGCCATCAGTCACCACATACAAACCGAGTCACAGCAATTGTCTATGTGCATGCTTCTAGCCTAGAGCAAATGTGAGGTTTGAGTTAAATTAGATTAGCCTCCTTTCACTACAGCCTAAGCCATACACGGCACCTTAACTATGGCCAAGAGCAAGCTCAGCTGATGCACAGTAAATTGGTAACCCGCAGTAACTTGATCATGTTTGTAAGGTTTCAGTCTTTGAGGTCATCTGAAAGCCACCATGACCAGATGTACTCTTTGGATTTTGCTGGAGGGATTGTTAAAGTAAACGTATACTAGGTGAGTTCATCTCCTTTTAGATAATGAATACTGGATAGAGTAATTAGAAAGTGTTTCATCATAGGGAACGTTTCTGTTAAGTATTTGTATGGCACCAATAGCATAAGATTGCAATCTTGATCATGATCCCTAGGTACTACCATGATCATTATTCACAGGAACACTAATTTTCCTAGTAGAAACTAAATAAATAAGGGCAAATAACTGTCTCTCATGAAGCACTGCTTTATCTTGATTTCTGATAAAGGAAAGCTAATTCGCTTTCACACAGGAAAGTTTTTATGTAGGTGCCTAATGCTGAATAGAAGGTAGCAGTTCAAAGATAGTAAACTGATTCTCTTATGTTAATCAGCACAAACATGTGACATTCATTGCACAGTCTGACATAAGGCAGACTCATATAGTCTCTTGCAATCTGCACATAAGTTGAAACTCAAGCAAAATAAAAGGGAGTTGCCCTAAGTAAACAAAAGAAGAAATCCTGGCAAAGACTCTGCTAGTCCTCCCTCATTCCCCATGTCAAGTACTCAGTCGTGTGGGGCCTCGTCATGAGGCTCATGCTGGCACGTGCTTATTCACGGGAGTTCTCTTGTTGAAACCAAAGGCACTATTTGCATGAGTGACTGTTCACCAATGTGAATAAAAGCTTTGCAAAGTGACTTTAATTGTTTTGCTCCAAATATGGGACTTTCTCAGGGTCTTGTAGGATCTCAGAGTGGCCCTCTTACGCAAAGAAACCAGATCTAGGCATGTAAATTTGGCACAGATTCCTCAGTGGCATAAAATAATACTGAATCGCTTTTCTAGTCTGACTGATAAGCCTGACTAGTTCATTCCTGTTTATTAAAGGACAGTGTATAACCTGAAAAAAAATCAGGTGCCTAATGAGTATTTAAAACCTCTCTATTCTTTACAAAGTAGGCTATGAAGTTATTTGTGGAAACTTCGGACTACCCAAGACAAACAATCTAACAGAAAACTTTTAATTCAAGGAAAATCCCTGCTTGAGTACTTTTTGTAGGCACTGAAGATATCAGTAAATCAACTGAGGTAAATAGCTGCCAAAACTGGCTGTGCCAAAAAAGAAAGAAATTATCTATACAATATAGATAATAGGGCAAACTCAGGACAAGTGCAACTCCACTGAGATTACCAACCACAATACCTGACTAGGTCCTTTTCCATAGCTGTACAAACCCTCCATCTTTTGAGTTCATCTTTGCAGACACTTAAGCAAATATTTTTGTTGTACATACGTTTGCAAAAGTGTCAATGATGGTACAACCTCAAGGCTTTGTAGTTGCACAGTTGTAACCAGAAGTTTGAAGTAACTTGGAAAACATCTGTTGTTATATGCTTTTCTGCTCCCGACATGTCAGGTAGTCCATGTTATTTTAAAAATGGCTAATCAGTAATTTGATGCACTTATTTCTAACTCTTAAAATATATGCAAAGATGTGCAATTATTATGTTCTTTACAAGTGCAGCCTGTTCCATGCTGCCTTTATAGTAATTGTGCTAATTAATTTGTTTCAAAGGCAGACCATAGTAATTTCTAAAGCTGAACCAAAACCAAATGGCTATGGAATTTGAGGTCATTTGTTCAAAGTTCATTTCCGGAGTGAAGGGTCATATTGGTAAATTTAATATTTAATACTCGAATGCTGGATTATTATTTGTTTTCTTGAAAACAGTGAGCAAAATTATCCTGGGAATTTTGCCAAAGTTGAATTCAGACCATTATCAATATCATTGACGTTCATACTTCAAGACTAACACATCAGCTAGTCCCCAAAATATACTTCCGTATTAACATTTACCTTGCAACTCTTCCCCGAAGATCTCCTAAACCAGAAAGCTGCCGCATTTCCAGACTCTTTAGGGTAGAGTTTGTTCCATAGCTGAGATTGTCTCTGACACGTATCTGTTCCTGCAGCATCTACAAAGCATTCATATGCAAATATGAATTCAGTATGTCATATTTAATGTACATTTAAAATGTCACTCATTATTTTTTCAGTAGTTCAGTAATATCGGATACAGTTTTATTATTACTTTAATAAAACCTTTGTCTTGTATCATACTAAAACAGGTGCCTTTAGGTCATTTATTATTTCTTATTTTTACTGTCCAATCTGCCCATAAAATCCCACAAGCTATATAAAGTATACCTTGACAATGGCATGAAGACTTCAAATACTAACATGTCTCCATCTGTTTTTCTCACCACACCCATGTTGCTCATTGCAGCAGAGGTCAGACCTGAAGTAACGTATCTGTGTATAGTTAGCTCATAAAAATAAGCGCTTGGGTTTGGCTGCTTGTGTTGTCAGTAAGTTGGAAATGAAAGAAACGTTATTGCAGAACTGAGGCATTTCCTAGCGTTTATGCAGCACAGCCTTTGGACTGAAGTTGAGCTGGGCATTAGTGTCACGTTAATTCATTTTTTCTGGGTTTTTCCAGTGTTGCTCTTGAAAGCAAGCTTTTTAGTACCACAAAGGTTTCTGTGTTTATATACTAATATCCTGTACTATTTTCACAGCTATTGAAAGACTTACATAATTTGCAAACAGTTTTTTAAGTTATAAAAACAACTTACAAGCCTACAGGATCTTCAGATCTTATCTTAACTTCACTTACCAAACTGTGCTCAGTGTTCTTACTAAATTAGAAGGAGTAAGTAGCTGCCTTGGTATTAGTCCTATGAAAAAGTCTGAACGTACCTCGATGTCCCGATTAAGCTGCCTGACTATTGCAGTTATGTTTCGGATGTGCTCTTCTAAGAGTTGCCGAGCCAAGCGGTCGCCCCCCCCCTTGTTCTGCATTCTGTGCAAGGTGGAAACAATGTCCTCCTTAATGCGAAAAGCGTGTTCCACAAGGGCGGCCGTTGTTTTCTCATGGCTTAGGATCCTGTCTTCTAGCTGATCCACTAGGCTTGCAGACGCCAACGGGACCGCTGTCAGCGCTTGGCTGTGCAGTGGTATGTTTCGAACCCGTCTAGTGAAGAACATTCAGATATTGTTGAGTGCTCACGCAAAACCCGTAATATCTTTTAGCTGGAGACTTTAGGGTGCTATCTTAGTAGCAGTACTGGGAAGAAATACCAAAATACTCACGGAGAGAGGGCCCACTGCTACAAATAAATGGATCTACTGTTTGCTACTGCATGTATCTGGTACAAAGGCAGGTCAAGATCTTTTTCCCACTCCTTAAGGAAGCTTGCAAAGGCTTAGGATCTTAACAAAAGGATATTAGCATTATAACAGTAGTTGCAATTCAGAATGGTAATTTGATTGAGAACCCAAACTTGGGGCACTTTTATTGAGTTTTAGAAGTAATTCTCTTTGTCTGTACAGTTTTCTTCTTCATTCAGCCTTAATCAAAGCAGTAACTGTAGAAAGTAGAGACTGTAAATTAAATAAAAATAGACCAAGATTAAAAAGGGGTAGCTTGTGTCTATTCCTTTTTTTCTGCACATACGCTATACTGTAATACCATACAGAAGCTTGTCCTCCCATAAACTGGACAGGAACATAGGTAGATGTAAAAACTGAGGAGAGAGCAAAATTATGACAGGCTTCTCTTCTCATAGGGCTTCTCATAGTCTAAGAAGTCAAATTCTCCAAAAAAAAAAAAAAAAGCAGTGGGAGCTCACCGGTATTTTAACTTTTAAAAATCATGCTATTGATGCATGCTATCTTTTTCAGCAGCTATGTTCTGTAAAGAAAACGGGAAATTTTTCAAAAATTTAAGTAGAAGATACAAGTAGATACAACCTCTTTTGAAATAAGAGATCTTTTTCTTTGAACTCTGTCATTTACTGTGTATTGTCCATGTTGTTTCATGTTAATGAGCCAAATTCTTGGTTTACTTTCACCATAATGATGTTGACAGAGATGTATGAGGACTAGTAAAGGTCAGTTCTGGCCCTGACTTTATACGTTTATTCAATACTATTAGAAGATGTTGGTCAAAATATAGTATCCTTGCACTTCTATTCAGTTACAGTCTAATCTATGTATTTTCCTTGAAAAAGGGTTAAGTAAAAGCCAAGTAAGTAATTGTGATTTGGGCCACGATTTGAAAGACTCCACAATATTTCACTTTGCTTTGCGTACTAAATGCCAAAGTTCCAAATAACAGCATTGCTGTAAATAGGGAATTAAGAGAGATTCATAATACTCTGCAATATGAAGATTTTATTTTTCACATTCCAGACCGTACCTTTCAGAATGGGCAAGAGTTGGGAAGATTGGGCTTCGCTGGGCCATTTTCCGGTCAATAATTTATGTCTGTTGAAAAAGTACATATTGAATTATTTAACAGTTTATATCTGGCAGTGAAATGACTTAATATTTTTGCTTTATGTGAACATTTAAGTAAAGTTTAAGATTAACGCTGACAATTCTGATCGTAGAAGAGTTTAAAAATCACTTATAGAATAAATGCATTAAAAAATTGATGCAAAACAGCAAAAAAATGAAAAATAAAAACAGCTAAAAAGCCTTTTATAATGAAAACAATGCCCCTGAAAAGGGCACAGTTGACAGCCTTGAAACTGAAATCAGCTGTTGACCCACAGAACTGGTCTGGCAGGACAGGAATAAACTTCTCGTCCCCAGTCTGTCTACTGGTCTCAGGCATCATCAATCAGTGCATACAAAAGTAAGATATCCAAGATTATAATAAAGCTTAAGAATGGAATTCAATCAAAATATTTAATGACAACAGATTATTAGGGGTAAAATATTTTTCAGGTAAAAATAGTGGCAGTCAAATACCTAACTGAATTGTGTTAGGATCACTATAATTTAGCAAAATGGAGTCTTTTATCCATTTGTTTTCAAATCCGAGTGGTCACACTTTGTATGTGATGAGTATATAAATTCTGTTTTTAATTGTTAGACGTAGTCAGCCAGACTGTGATAGACACTGAGGCAGGATAGCTCTGTTAAATAGCTTCAGTAAGACATTTTAGATGCGTTAGTGTAAGTGAGACCAGTAGCTTTGCTCTGATGACAAAAATTAAAAAAATAGAAGGATGGTAGCCTTAATCAAATCCAACTACTGCGCCCCATATAAAACAAATGCATATTTTAAAATATAAAGATGATATGAATGAGCATGACTGTCCTGCTGGAGGCCTGATCCTGAATTCCCTGGGATCCTAAAATCCTCACTGAAAACTAAAGGCTCGTCTATGAAAACGATTCTGCAGTTGCTGATGAAACCTGGTACAATATGCTATACAAATGGAAAGGGAAAATCAGGGTTATTTAAACAAAGCCATCAGCTTTTGAATATGATAAAGTGGTAGGCGTATCCTTAGAAATCTCAAAATGCGGAGCTTGTTTGTGCTTTAGAAACATAGGAAAGCACTGCCTAAAAAACAGCGAGCAAACATTGTCACAGTGTGTGTGTTCTATTTATAGCATAGTGCTTCAGAAACTACAAATTAGAAAAGAAATAGTTTCAAGAGAGGCTGGGTTGCTGAGCAGCAATGGCACTAGATTAGAATTCACAAGATTTGATTTTAATTCCTTGCACAGTCTCTGATCCTGATGACTTTGGACAGGTATTTCCATGTCTAATGACTCAGTTTCCCTATATTTAAAATGGAGATGATGATACCTACCTCCTTGTTTAAGTTCTTGCATGTCCCTGAGTAGGAAGCACCGTGTAGGAGCTGGGGATGCTTGCGATGCTGCTGCATTCGCAGTTCTACACCGACACTGAATGTCCAGCCCTGCAACCCGCTCCCCACACGTGGAGTTTCCTTTAAGTCTGCACTGTTTTTTTTTAAACAGTGCCGCCATCCTGTGGGGAGCTACTCCTAACTGTGCTGAGGGCTTATACAGTAACCTGGTACAGAGCCTAAGTTCTTAGTAGATCTGAGCTCATTTGTTCTTTCTTAGTCCTCCGGGCCATAACACATTTTAATGATCTTGATGCAGCAAAGCATTTAAACACAATTTAACTGTAAACACAGGAATATCCCGCTGACTTAGGTGGAGCTATGCCTATCCCAGCAGCAAAGCACTGGATGCTACCTGAAAAACCTAAGAACGAATATTAAAGTCTTTCAAATGTGCATCTAGCAATATCTTAGTGGGATACTCTTTATAAAAAACAGCCAAACAAGAAATTCTCAGCTCATAGTGGTTCATCCTACAGCCTTTGATATACATTTCATATCAATTCAAAAAAAAATGCTTGGAGCAGAATTAGCGTAGGATTGCTTGAAGTTTTTACTTTTTTTTCCTGACTGCCATTAGCCATACAGCTAAACACAAATGTCTGGAGAAACGACACATGAAACAAAATGTACACAGATGGACTTCTCGTTCATTTGGCATTGTTAATTTAAGCACATCGCTTAGTACACCCTGAAATCTCTCTCAGTCATCGATCAGATTTCTTGGTTTGATCTGCTCCAACATCCGGAAGGGATGTATAAGGATCCTGTTCAGCACCTGTACAAAAACTTTGTTGCAGTTTAGAGGTATTTCCAGTAAACAGTAATAGTTAGGTGTCAGAATTAATGACATATTCCCTCTCTGTGAGTGTGTGCAGTACCCATTCAAAGTAATAAATACAAACTGTAAGAACAAAATAAGCTCTAATGCCTGGAACCTGAGGAGTGTAATTTCACATAGCTCCAGGTGTAATAGTGCAAAACTGATACCAGCAGCATAGATACCCGTTGAAATACTGGCTTTAAGTGTTTAGTTTTCCTTTATTTAAAATGAGGTTGTCTCCTGTTGGATATTACCAGAGTAATTTAAACCATAATATCTTAACCCAATAAATTTTAGGTGATTTGTTAAATGTACTGAACGTTCCGAATATCCTTGTTCCAGGGAAGAGACAGAGATTTCTTTCCCGGTTAGAAGTGATATACCTGATTGCCAAAGTAGCAGTTCACTTGAGATTTAAAGCAGCTGTTGCACACAAACCTCTGATACTTCTTTACTGTTTCTGTAAGTCACTGACCTCAGACAGATGCAAACTTGAAAAAAAAAAAAGTATATAGGACAGGCTAAAGAAGCACTGTTAGCAATACAGAGCTCACTCCTTGTTGTCTGTACTGTGGCATCCCTTCCCCACTTCAGCAGGCCGTCTCGCGTGTTTATTTTCGGCGGGTTCTCCGCTTCTCCTTTTGTAACAGATAATCACAGCCGTGGTAGTTCCGTTCTCCATCTTCCGCTATCGTCTGCGTATGACACTTGCTGTAGTTAGTGCCTGAGCACCTCGGAGCGTTTGTCACCTGTGTTCTAGCAGTATCCCCGGGAGGTGGGAAAGGATTATTATCCCCGAAAGGATTATTATCCTTATCTTGCTGGTAGAGAACTGAAGCACGGGGCGGCTATGTGACTTGCCACAAGTCACGCAGGGAATCAGAGCAGCCTGAAAGACTCGCCTAGGCAAACGCTCTAATCGCTCTTTTCTTCTTAAAATAGCACACTCTGGTTGCTGCGCGGGGAGCGTATGGTAGCGCTGCCCCGGGACCCGCGGGAGCCTAGCGTCACTCCGAAGCACCTTGGGACAACGTTTTGGAGCAAGTGAGAAAGTCAGCGTGCCGCAGCTCGCAGCAGAGGTGGGTCAGGACACGACTGGCTCGGCG